ACACGCACATCCTTCAAGTACACCCACAAACAGCACACTGTACTACCACCAAAAGTTGGTCAATCTCGGCGTTTCAATCCGGTAATGGCCGGCCGCACCATCCACCGCCCAAAACACCTCCTGCGAAGCCTTCCCCTCCTCTCCCGCCGACCCAATTCAACCGCCTCTCCCTTTTTCACCCCCGCCGGCCACCAGCTGAACCTCGCCGAGACGACCCCCGACCCGAAGCCCACCAAGCTGACCCCGGCAGCCCGGACACCCGTCAACCTCGACGACGCCAAGGAGCTGTTCTCGTCAGTCTCTACCGGGAAGCTGATCAAGTCGATCGTGACCCTACAAGCGGCGTCGATGAACGGCGTGGTGGAGCTGGGGTCGACGGTCGTGAATTCGCGGCTGATGAAGAGCCCGATCTCGAGGAAGATGCTGCTGGAGTCGATCGAGCACACGTTCTACGATCACTTCTGCGGGGGGAAGGATTTGGGGGAGGCGGATCGGATCGTTAAGAGGCTCTGGGATTCGGGGCTCATGGCTATGCTGGATTACGGGCTTGAGCACGCGACTGATAACGGGGCGTGCGATCGGAATTTGGACGAGTTTGTTCAGACGATTGAGTCGGCTAAGCATTTGGGAGCTTCACCTGTAAGTTATTCCTCGTTTTTCTCGGTTTCTGTTTTGTTCTCTTTTTCTGAGAAGATAATGGCATTGTTGGTGAAGCCTGATGCATGCATATAAGGTGTTTGAGTTTTTGTGTTTGATAGAACAATTTAAAGTTAGCTGTTGAACCATTTGAAACAAGGTAGTGTTTGAGATTTTGGAACACCAATTGATCAGTGTAGTTTCTCAATCATATTATACACAGTTTAGCTGAAGTTACCAATAATAAGAATAAGAAAAGGAAAACACTTATCAGTAGTCTTCAGAATACACATAAATCCCAGATCAATACTATTGAGTTTTGTGTTTGTATTATTGAAACAAACTTACTCATAATTTTGAAACTTAGTTGGTGTTATTAAACTGATAACATCAAATGTCAATGATCTTTCTTGCAAATTGATGACAAATAACTGTAGAAAGAACAAACTGCTGGCTGAGCAATCATAGTCAGTATAAGATGAAAAATGACTGACACACAATACATTCGGGTTTTTTACAGGTCAGTTTTGTAGTAATCAAGATTACTGCCATCTGTCCCCCGCGCTTGCTCAACAGAATAAGCGATTTCTTGAGATGGGCCCACAAGGACAAGTCCCTGCACCTCCCCTGGAAGCTCGAAACCCTACCCATATTTGCCGAATCCAGCCCTCTTTACCACACCCTGAAAAAACCCGACCCGTTAACCCTGGATGAAGAGTGTGACCTCGAGCTGGCTTATGGCCGGCTAATGAAAATCTGCAAACACAGTTGGGAGGGAAAAGTCCCGGTCGTGATCGATGCAGAGGACACCTCGATCCAGCCAGCAATCGATTACTTCACTTACTCGGCTGCCATTAAATACCGTTCGGATGAGAACCCGCTGATTTTCAACACGATTCAGGCATATTTGAGAGATGCTCGAGACCGAATGGTGATGGCAAAACGGGCTGCGGACTCGATGGGAGTGCCCGTGGGGTTCAAGCTGGTCCGTGGGGCCTACATGACGAGCGAGAGGCGATTGGCTTCCATGCTGGGAGTGAGGTCCCCAATACACGACACGATTGAGGATACTCACGCGTGTTTCGATGAGTGTGCAGCTTTCATGCTGGAGGAGATTGCTCGGGGGTCGGGTTCGGTTGTGCTGGCCACCCATAATCTCGAATCTGGTAAGGAATCTTTTGCCATGATTCTTGTTTTTTTTTGGGGGTTATTTTCTTTGTTGGTGGTGTGATAAAATGTTTTTTGGATTTAATCGTGTGGGGTAAGATTACGGGAGCTGTCCCTGAGGTTTGACGTAATGGAGAAGAGATCATAACTGTCTTTCAAAATCTACGGATGCCCTCCGCTTGAATTTGTTCTTACAAATACGTATATAAGTTTGTGGTTTTTTGTGGCCGTTAGGGTGTGTATGCTTAGTTATCGGTTTTGAGTTCTGCATTTTCGGTTGTGAAATTTTGAAGTTCGTGCCAAATTGCTCGTTTTATATTTCGTTTATTCGTTAAATTCTCTTCAACCCAGAATATGCAGAAAATATGACTTGCGTGACCAAAGTTACTACTTTGAGTAAATGACAAATATTGCAAATTTGGCTGGGGGCTATTTTGTGATTTTTCGAAAGATCAGTTGAATTTTTGTAGTCACGTCGAACCTCAGCGATAGTTTCTGTAAATTATCCCTTATAACCAATTTGACAATTTGTTAATGACTGTTCAAAGGACTCTTGAATCGTTATGACAATGCGAAGCAATGTCTTTTTTGGCAAGTCATGGCTTTGCATAAGACTTTACACAGGCTGTGGAAAAATCCCCCCTCAATGTATGTCCCGATTAGTTGACAAGAATCAAGATTGAATGGCAAAAGTTATCCTCTGGACATTTGGATCGTTTGTGTTTTGACAATGGAGCCAGAAGGATGATGATGTTCGTTTTACGACCTGATAAGAGGATTTTTTTGTCCGGGAAGTTATAAATCTAACCTATAAAGATCTTTCAGTTTTAAGCAGAGTGTTTTGACAAGTTGGTACTATTATGTGTTTGTGTAGGTAAAATGGCAGCTGCTAAGGCAGTTGATTTGGGAATCAAAAGGGAGAACAATAATCTTCAATTCGCTCAGCTATATGGAATGGCGGAAGCACTTTCCTTCGGACTGAAAAACGCAGGTTTTAAGGTTAGCAAATATTTGCCGTTTGGGCCAGTTGAGCAGGTCATACCTTATCTTCTTCGGCGAGCTGAAGAGAACAAAGGTCTCTTGTCTACTTCATCCCTCGACAGGCAACTCATGAGGTACACACAAACTTTTCAAGGGAAATTCATAGGTTTTTAAAGAAGGTCATACTAATTTTTAATCAACCCTTGTACTATATTGCAATAGTTTTGACTGCTCATGCTTTATCTATGAGCAGGAAGGAGATCTTAAGGAGATTAAAATCATAAATCAAATAAGGTATCTTGGAGGAGAAAAAAGTATCCAGCTTCAGTCCATGCAACTACTCTTTAAGAGTTGGAGAAGCTAGAAATTGTATGTGGGTCTAAAAGACAATGAGATTTTTGTTGTCTGAAGAAGTCCCATTATTAGTTAAGCCATATTGATTAGGTCATTGTCAAGATTCTTTCAGCCCATCAAGTGATTGTGTTTGAGGCATTTTATTATGTTGATGTAAATTGTCTCGTGTCAATTTTGCAGGTGTGTTTTTGGTTTCTTGGAATGAGTTTAGCAATTTTAAATGGAAAATATAGCTATTTTTTTTTTTTTGGTTTTTCTCTTCTACTGTTATATGATTCCTCTCTCTTAAAGCAATTAAAGCATACAACTATATTTTATTGAACAAATACTTCTTCTGATAGAAATGGTATACTGATACGAAATCAAGGACTTTTACCCATAATAATCACAAGTTTTATCGAACAGATCTTTGTTCGCTCCTATCCCTTCTTCGCTCGATCTGACACACTAATAAGACATCTATTTTCATGTTACCCTTCTATCTCGCACATATTATGCTTTGTTTAGTGATGAGAAGTGTCCGTTCACTCGAGCTATAGCTCGCTCTCTCGTTGGTTCGATGTAATTGACCTCGAAAAGACAGAAGGATCCCTTCCAGGCAGTGGCGGTGTGAGTGGGGTCGGAGTTGCCGCAAACATGGCTAAGATATTCCCCCCATCATAAAATGAGTGTTGACTGACTTCGCACCGATTGCATGCTACAACGTGACCTAGAAAATTTCTTCGAAGATTATTGCTTAGTCTGAGTGCAGTCCGTCATTCCATCATAGATGAGGCACAGTCTGCGTTTGTTAAGGGGAGGAATACGATAGACAACATCCATCTTATGGAAGAATTGCTCCGACAATATATGCAAAAGAGGGAACGAACGATACGAAGCTCAGTCATAGAATTCTACAACCTTCTACAAGGCATACTGCCGCTTTGAATTTAAATTAAGAGTTGAATTTAAATTAAAAAATAAAAAGAGTCGCGAATGATATTGTTCTACTCACACTCTTTATTATATGCTATGTTATTGATCGGTATATAAGAAATGCAATTGCCCTTCACTTGTGGATTTACAATGTTGCGCATAAGCATCTGAATTTGGTTTTCTCAAGTCGTACTTTCTTATAAAAAAAATACGACTTATACTATGAACAGAATATTTATATTTTGAAAGAGTAAATGATGTGGACCGTGTCAGAATAAAAGTTTTGGACTGTTGATAATTGTTTAAGGATGTCCATCAATAGAATTTAGAACGGACGTAACTTTGCGTTCTGGCATCAGAATCATTGTCGTAATGAGTTTGCAAGAAGCGGAAAAACGATATTGAATGAACTCAACGTCTAGCGCGATGGACTAATTCGTTCTTGGCCCAAATTCCATTGTGTGTAGCTCATCTAGCCATTTTATTATTTTTAGCATATTTCAATTTTAGTATTTTTTATTAATTTTTTATTTCATTTACGGATTGATGTCTCCAATACATTATTTGAGAATAATTCAAAATTTTTATATTGTTCCCACCACATTCTTCTTTACAATACATTATTTGAGAAGAATTCAAAAATTTATATTGTTTTCATCACATAACACAACTTTCTTTCTTTCCTTCGAAGTACGTTTGTATTTTACATTTCACTTCTGATTCATGTTAGTTATAGAAGACCAACCAAACCACATATATACTCTACTTAATAGGGACAAAACTCTACAAAAAATTGCACAACATCGATGAAATTGGAGAACAATTCATTCAAGTACGATGAATTTCACCCTATTCGTACACTTATTTTTATGAGAATCTTAACCATCCGATCACCCTATTCGTATACATTTTTTCATCTTAATCATCCGATTTCACCCTACTCGTGGACACTTCTTTTGTGAGAAATTTAACCGTCCGATAGAATATTGATTGTGTGGGCATATATAATTAAGGAAAATGCTACGGTGCCGTTACTGTACCATCCGGTCGGGTGTTTTAACTTTTAACCATTAGATCACATGTAGTTAGATAAGATAGATGATCCAACGATTGAAACACTCAACGAAATGGTACCGTAACGGAATCGTAGCATTTTCATGTATTCAATTGCACAAACTCGGATTTGCCGACAACTACAAGTACCTTAAAAGTAGACTAATTAGACGATTTGCCCGGGTAATAATAATAATAACTAGTATTCAACCGTGTGCATTTGCACACTCTAAAATAGAATATTATAACTTACGTTTATGCATATAGTATTAAAATTATAAATTATACAATGAAATTATATTTTAAACATAGATTATTATAAATTATATTTATGCATATAATAATAAAAATATAAATTAGATAATGATATTATGTTTTAAATTTTATCATTGGTTAAAATAAATAGTACATAACTATTTGATTGCATATGAACCGATATATTTGATATAGCATAAAAGAGTGGCTCGGTAAATCGGCACATAGTTGTTCGGCCCAGAAGTAGCCCGGCCTGATAGTTCATTAGTAGCCCGACCTTAAGGGGCTCGACTTTATGGTATTATGGGTAGGTCGGTCCAACGGAGATAACTGTGGCCCAGCCATATTAGTGGCTCGGGTTTTAGATGGGTTACTGGCCCATTATATGATGGACACGTGTGGTGTTAGGATCAATAGGGATTGGAAGATCTAGCAGTCAAGGATGGAAGCGTGGAAGGCAAGCTAGACAGATATGCATAAATAAGTAAAATGGGAGACATGGTAGGTCGGAACATGCACTCTTTATGAACCCTAATTCTAGACAGATCTTTGATTGATACTCGACTAACTTGAGCGTCGGAGGTTTACCGCCGGGATACTTCCCGACGTCTTTGCAGGTCTTTGAGGGCTCATGCGGTTGAGGGTCAAGAAGAGCCGGTTTGAAAAGCAATAGCATATCAATATTAATTACATAAAATATAATAAAGAATGTAATTTTGAGAGATCGCCAATTTATTAACTTAAAAATATTTATTATAACATTTCATTATGTGATTTTAAGGAATTTTACTATAAGATTAAAGTAAATTAACTTATTTAAAAATACAATCGCTAAATAAGATAAAAAAAATATAATATTAATTTTATAATAAATAACTTTAACAAAAAGTTTACAATTATTTTTTATGTTTATGGAACTTTCATATATCATTTAGTTTAAACTATAATTATTAATTTTGATAATAACTATTATATGATATAATAAAAAGTGTAATTATTACTCCGTTAATATAAAATGTAATGATTTTTTTCTTAATTAAACATAAAAAAGTGCAATGAAATAGTTTAGCATTAATTAGATATGGTGGATCAATAATAATAATAATAGAAGATTGTAACATAAAAAAGATGGTAAACAATAATCAATATTATTAAATTTATTATTAGTAACTAGTACGTACCCCGTGCGATGCACGGGCTGTATTTATTTTGGTAAAATTTATAATTGAAGGATATTAATCAATAAGTTATAATACATAGAACATTTGTTAGGTAATCGTAAAATGATCATCATGAAAAAATCATAAATTATTAAAAAAAAAATTGTTTTTTCATGCAAAATTATTTTTCACTTGGTAACCGTAAATCGATATTTACCAAGATTGCTCTCCACTTGGTAATTGTGAATTGCATAGACACCTCATTCCTTTATTATTTTGTTGATTTTCGGAATGTTAGTACCATGAAATAAAACTATAGTGAAAATATGTAATATTGTGGTAGATACTAAAGATATTGTTATCTGGTGAAGTTTAATTTTATATCGAATATAAGGAAAATTGTTACCTTAAAGTTAAAGTGTGGATTTTGAGTATATCTTTTTTTTTTTTTGTCAATCATTCTCATTTTTTATGCCAAATTTATTCCAAAAATTGAGAACGATTTTGTTTTTGTTATGTTTTAACAAAAAATTGGAATTTTGGTTGTATCTTTTGTAAAACATATTTATAAAAATAATTACGTTTAAAAAAAAATAACAACGATATTCTATCATTTGTAGATAAAAAATAACTAAATGAATCGGAGGACATGTAAATCACGGTTTTTAAATGAAAAATGTGTTTCATAAAAAAAATGATAAGAAAATGATTCAAAATGATAAAAAGAAAATCGTATATTATAACAAAATTATGTTTACATGAGTAGTTGATTAGTGAATCAAAAATTGTGGCAATTTTAAAAAACATGTTACCATGATTGAAATAAAAACTTTAGAATATTTTTTTACTTTTAGTTAAGTTGCATATATTGCATAACTATATATGAAAAAAATAAAATACTTAAAGTTCAAATAGACGATTTATTTATATGTATATAATAAAGTGTACAGTCCAAATAATTAAATTTTATTTAGCATTTATATTATTAATATTGATACCGTGATTATTGTAAAGTCCAACTCTCATTTTTTACAGTAAATTTATATTATGTTAAAATAAATTGATAAGTCTAAAAAGCGATATGGATCGAATTAAAAAGATTGAATCGTGGTTAAATATCTTGATATCATAATTATACTGTTTTTAAAAAGATATTCCATAACATTTGGTGTCATAATAATACTGCCTTTAAATATAAGTGATTCTAAATAGCCGGATGTAGTGTTTAATCAAATATTATGGAATATCTTTCTAAAAATATCTAATTATTAATTTATTTTTGTTTCTTATTTATATTTTACTTTTGCCAATTGATGACAATATTATGTTTGATCACATTGTGCACGCAGATAATTTCTTAAATATAAAGTTGTGAACTTAACAAATATCTTATGTGGTTCACAATCCATATAAACAATTGACATTTGTCAAAATTTATGTGATAACAACATTTATGCATTGTAAATACTCTTATTTTGTTTTAAACAATTTCAAATATACTTTTATCTATCCCAAATAAAATTCATACTATTTAAATTCGAACATTTCGTACCAAAAATAAATTACCCACTTTATACCACAAAATCGGACATTTATTATTAACAACACATTTTCTATGAAAAATAAAAATGACTATCAGATACTTAAAATAAAATCATCAGCTTTATACCAAAATTGGATTTATTAATTTTGTCAACTTTATACCATAAATTTATTAAGTATTTTCTAAAGGTCATTTCTACATTTTGTCCAAAATATTTTTTAGCGGCACATAAATGTTATTTATACTTTTGTATTTGGTTATCTTGTCTACGGAGAAAAAGATAATCTTGCAACTCTACTATGTCAACAAAAAAATGTATGAAAAATAACATAAGTATTAATTTATTATGTTTTACTCAATACAGGAAATATAATATAGAAATAAAGATTAATGTTTAATTCTCTATAATTGCTCAATCAAGTCTATATATTTAAAGAATTTCGAAAATTCTATAATACCCCCATATTTGTTTCCATAAAACTAAATCATCCTAGATTTACATTCAACTAATAAAGGTAATAGCCATAAATATTTGACTAAAAAGATTATGTACATTAAGTACATTGATTTTTGTTAATTTACTATTTTTAGATAATAATTAATGAAATTGGCGGAAAAGTGTTTCTAAAAGTGAATTATGTTAATCCTTATTATATATTAATAGATTTAATTGCGTGAAAAAATAATTTTTTAAACCATTCCATACAAATATAATGTTAATCGGGCAGTAATTAATAGTGCTAATGGAGCCACAAAAATGGCTATGTACGTTCCAAAATATGTGCAATTGATGTTATTCAATATTTAATGGCGTGAAAAAAGGATTTTCATTATTGTACCGAAATCCAAAAAATCACTATGTATGTTCCAAATTATGTGCAATTGCTGTTAATTAATGGCATGAAAAAAAGATTATTATTCCATTCCATATTTAATCGGGCAATAATTAATAGTGATTTTATAAAATTATTTTAAATTACTATTTATAGGCAATAATTAATGTTTTTGGCGGGAATTAGTTTCTAAAAATTAATTAAGTTAATCCTTATTATATATTAATAGATTAAATATGGAGAGAGAGATATAAATGATAAAGTTTGTAATGGTTTTTGGAGAGAAATCGAAATGAAGTTTTATTAAATGTGTTATTAAATGCTATTAACTAGCAATTATATATATATATATATAGGGTTGGGTTCACATGAGAATGGTGCTTGATGAAAGAAATGAGAATAAATTATAGCCATTAGATCAGATGATCTTATGGCTAAAAAAAAAGCTAAAATTATACCTCATTAAGGGTAATGTGGTACTTTTACACACCAACTCAAAGAGGTGGACCCACACCCATTAATACACCTGCCAGCCACCCCCACGCCAACTGTCCCACCTTTCATGAGTCTCTCTCTCCCTTTTATCTCTACCCTCTCTCTTATGTCTCTCTCTCTCTCTGTATATTTAAAAAAAAATACAGCCTTAAAAGAAAAAAAAAAAAGCAGAACACAAGAATAATGCCTCCCGTCA